ATTTAACTATTTGTATGAGCTAGTAAACATCCTCTTTAAAAAGCAGGACAAAAAAATAACATGAATTGGATCAATTCTATTAACAGGTAAATTTCACTCTAGGAACATAGCTTTACTTGGGAAAAGTGAGGAGGAACATTTTGAAACAATAAGAAAAAAGGCACTAGCGATACCAAAGTCAACATAGGGGGCAATAAACTGCAGGATCCCTGTGGCTCACAGCAAAGAAACAATTTAAACATGTAAAAGGAGTACAGAATAGGGAAATACATGTTTCAGACTTTGGTTTAGCTTCACTGTCTATCAGGGAGAGAAAGAACACATTACTTCTTCCCCTCTCCAGCACCTCCTCTGTTCCAAAGAGTCAAAATTCACTTTATTTCTAATTAATATAATTCAACAGTATAAAAGAAGCACTTTGGCTAAACTGGTACCCAAATCCCCATTTTTCGCATGTTTCTAAGTAAAACTCAATTCCAAACACTGACCTAAAAACAAAGCTTTATAACTCTTTAGGTTTAACTTCAGGCCAGATTTATGGATGTATTTTTACTAAAACTTAAATTCAATTCCAGAGATAGTACTTTGGTAGTTATTATATTTGAACAAATATATATATTATATATTTCAGAAGAAAATGATTTTAAAGATACAGTTACCACTCAATTATTTTAATAATCAAGTCTGGCCTTAAAAAAACATAATTTAAGAATGTATCCAAGTATTAAGAGTTTGTTTACACCTTTCTCTAGTTTTTACCAATAATTTTTTTATAAAAACAGGGGAATTACTTTAAGACTTTAGTCTCCTTTCTGATCCTGCCTTTAGAAGCACACATTAATGAATTGTGAAATGGACACAGTGATCCAAAAAAATTGAGTGTAATAGACATACGAGTATAAAATGGGCATAAAATGGGAAAGAGATGACTTCAGTGGTTTTAGCAGCTCCGAACTACTTACCTGTGAACTACCTCTCTGATGACCTCTTCTTTAGAGTGAAATAGATCAAAACCCAAATTTATCAGACTCTTAAAAATTAACATTCAGTCACTAATGAAATAATTTCAAGGTTAATAAATGGCAAAATTCTAAATTATATGAAGTAAAACATCTTCCTAAAAACATTCTCTGAGAATTATTTTACGATAGCAATTTTTGAGTATGACTGGTACTTGAGCAACAGAAAACACACAGTAGAAAAATGTAAGTCACATGGAGACTGTAACATTCCAGCTCAACAACTGAGTTCTCTATTTGATTTAAAAGGCCTAAATTTCATTTAAAGTTCTTTGCCAGTTTAACATCCTGATGGGTTTGGTAATCATTTTAATTGAACTTTTTCATGATTTAGGAACATTAAATAATTTAAATAATTCGTATCATTTTAATTTTTACTTTGAATCTATTCATTTGATAGGAAATGTGAAAATGTATTTTTAAAATCTCAAATGCCCAGTGTCAGTTATAAATGCCAATCAAGTATTTTTGGTACCTTCTGGCAGCAATATTTGAAAGTGGTTCTAGTTGTAAAGTTAAACATAGTTTTGTGAGGCGCCACACAGAGGATAGGAATTAAAAGTCAAAAGGTATAACCTGAGACTCCAACCTTGAGAAGGTGTTCCTGGCATAGTGCATGATACTGTCAAAATCATATCTTTCTCCGAGTGAGTTCACTTCTCCAGGCTCCATCTTCAGAAAATTGTACTCTTGACCTAAGGATCAGGCACAAGAAACCTTTCAGAAGCCTCTTAACAGACAGAAAAGAGAACAGAAGAGCCCCTCCTGGCCCGTATCCGCTCTCGACTGAACACTGATCTTCGTGTGGTTGTATTTACACACTAACAGCCAGGTACATGCAGAAGGGCACATCCAGTGCCACTGTGTGCAACTGAACATCATTCTGAAAGAGTAATAGTGAATTTCATTAATAAGTTAATTTCAGCAAAAAGGCAGATTGCCAAAGACATATGTTGGTTTTTTTCCTTTGTATCCTCTGTCACTTTTTCTTAATACTTGTTTCTTTAAAATTTTACTGTTTTTTTATGATACTGTGACTATAAAAAGTTACATTTTTACCTAATGAGCTTCCCACCTTTCTCTTATGACTACATTTGCCAAGACCAAAAAAAAATGTTTCCTCTGAAACACTGGGAAAAAGAAAAAAACAATATTTGTATGTACACACAACATTACAAGTGTTTGCTATGTGATTTTATCCCTAAAGATTAAATAACATCAATTAAAATATATATAAAAATAAAAAACTTTAAAAAATTTTTTTAAATTAAAAAATAAAATAAAATAAGAAATTCACATATCCTTAGCACAGAAAAAAAAAAGATAAAAAACAGCAGCAAATTTCACTCAAAACTGAAACAAGATTCTCTTTGATGAAAAGGAGGCTCTACTCGGAGGGCTATTTTGGTTAAGAAGAATATGCCTCAGAACTTAATAATTCTTTTTTTCACTGTTCACAACTGTTATTTTAACTTCTGGACATCTTTGTATTAATAGATTTCTCAACTGCCTATTGGTATTTGTATTGTAATATTATTTCTTGAAAATTGGTAATAACATAGAGTTAAGTACGTAGATCCACATCAGTGGTTCAGAAGCAGAGTGTTTCCTGAGGTTTAGTTTAGGTTTCAGGGAGTCATGTTTCACAATTTCAGCAGCCAAAGGTGGCTACTTTTATAGCTCTTTTTGAACCATCAAAATGTAAAGGTGAGCTATTAGGATTTCAAATTCAAAACTGGAGTTCAAAACAGAACCATTACAACACTTATCTATTTTAATTTTATACCAACTGCCACATTACTACCAAATATAAAAATACCACATTAGGAAAACATTTTCCAAAAGGCAATGAAGACACTGAGTGATGCCACGGAGTAATGATATCCTTCCTACATGTGATAAGGAAATCTGATACACTCACTTGAGCATTAAAGATGAAATAATCAGCCTAAAGTTACAGAACCCAAGTCCCAGAGTTAAGTGTGTTAGTCCACCTTATAATGAATTTACACAATTTTCAATGAACTTAGCAGACCATACGGTGAAATCTTATGTTCCACAAATCTCTGGTTCGTCTGTCTGTATTACAGCCTTTTTCAGGAAATACTTTGCATTGTCTCAACCTCTGACAGAAGCAACTGTTAAAACTCTTCTTCACAAAAAATGGTAAGTATATTTTAGCATATTCAATTCTAAGGTGAGATTTTCATAAAGCTATGGAGTTGATTTTATAACTATTAATCTAAATCTCACTGGAGAGTTCAACTTTCAAGCACAAATATGGGAACATATTTTCTAATTCTCTAATAAAGCAAAATGTTTCATAAAAATTTCTGAAGGCGGAACATGAAGCAACGTCAGTAATACATTGTAATGTGTATTACTGACGTTTATCATGTATATGACACAGTGTTCTGTGCTGGTTAAAAAGAACACGGCCACATATGGTCCAAGGAAAGAAAAATAGACTTATTTTATGGAAGAAGGGAAGAGCTATCAGGAGATACAGAGCACCAGTGGAACTCATCCTAAGCAATTGAAAGAAAATGGCAAGCCTCCTTCTTGAAAGCATGTTTTAAGA